TCATCTTTTTAAGTGGGAGAACTTGCACAATTGGTGGCTGACTAAATACTTTTTTGTCTCACTGTATATCAAGGAATGAAGTTGCAATGAATGCTAAATGATAGTATCCCAAAAAAAGTAAGAAAGAAAAAAGAGATGCCATAAATACTGTGCCTATGCTCAAATCTAAGGTTGCAATTATTTAAGGAGTAGCTATACAACAGTGTGGGTTGTCTGTGTGTGTGTGTAGAGAGAGACTGAGACTCCATCTGTGCCTGATGAGTGGAACAATGCCTTATTATTCCCTCTATAAAGGAAAAACAGTAAATGCAGTAACTGTTAAGCGTGCCCAGAAAAGTTTTTCGCAGAATTATAATTAAAAATGATGTGACAGGTGACAATGAGAAAAATTGGGGAAACCAAATGTTCATGCTAGGTAGGAGTATTCTGACCTGAGTACAGGTGTTTAGTAGGTAATTGTGAAATATGTCAAAGTAAGACAGTTTATTGTGCATTCATTAATTTAGAGAAGGTGTATAATAAAGTGAATGTGCAGGATGGATACAATGTTTTGCACAAATACAGAGTTGAAAGTTGTTTGCTGAATGCAGTGAGAGGGAATATTATCTAACAAATGTATGCATGAGAATAAATGGAATACATAGCAAATAGTTCAACCCTGAGTAAGAGAAGAATAAATGATGTTCTCTTAGTTGTTTATTGTATTTTTGAATAAATGGATAAGGAATGCATTAGCAAATATTAGATGGTATACGGCAGTGAAAAAATAGATCTCAACATCAATATAATGAAGATCAAGGCAATTGTATCTGACAGGGAAAATTGAATGATTAATAGCTAATTATACGCAAATGCCAAAAAAAGCTGGAGCAAACTGATGAATTTATATAGTTTGGTAGAATAATTACAAAAGATGAGAAAATGGTCAGTGAAATTGTTAGGACATACAAATAAATGTTAGTAGGAAGGTAACAGGTAATCTATTACTAGGAGAATTGTATAAAGAAGAAACATAGCTGTGTCTCGAACTTCGTTTTTGCTCAGCTTGGTTTATGAAAGTGAGAGGCTGATATGTCACTGTAAAAAGTAACTTGAATGCAGAGCAAATAAGGAACATATTGCATATTATTGTGAAACAAAATAGGGTCAGAAATCCTTGGGTGATGAATGAATAAGGGCTGGGTACAAAAATGAGTGACAAATAGAAAAAATACATTCTGGTAGTTTGTCCGGGAGAAAACAAATTAGAACTAATTTACAAAACAAATATATGAAGTAATAATGAATCAACTGCATAGAAGAGAAATCCTGAGAAACTGGAGCTGGTTGCAGTTGATGAGTTCTTGAAAAAGTGAGGATTTTAAAGAATAAAAACCAAAGAGTCATGTGTGGATATGATGGAGTTCCAAGAGCAAAAAGAATATAGCGAATTTAATCACATTGTATTCTTTTTTTCTTATCTCATGACTTAAATATCTTTGGCTATGTGTTACTTCCTTTCCTTGCTTTGAATAATAATGCTTACCATGATGGAAATAGATGAAAGGGTATGCATGTAAATATATATATACACACACACATATATACATATACATACATACACACATACACATTATATATATATATATATGAATNTCCTCCTACCAAAGACTTTCTGGAGTTCTTCACAGGAAGGGAAAAAAGGAGAAAGGAAGGAAGGAGGAAGGGAGGGAAGGGAGAAAGAAAGAAGGAGGTAGGGAAGGGAGAAGGAAGGGAAGGGAGAAATAAAGAAAGAAAGAAAGAAAGAAAGGGAGAAATAGGGAAGGGAGAAAAAGAAAGAAAAAAGGAAAGAGGAGGGAGGGGAGAAAGAAGGGAGAAAGAAAGTGAAAGAGGGAGGGAGGGAAGGGAGAAAGAGGGAATGGAAAGTGAATCAGATATGGATAGATGGATGAATGGATGGATGGAGAGAAAAAGGAGAGGAAGGACCACAAACCTAGCACTAGATGCAGCTTCAGAGGATGTTTTGAAACAGCACAGCAATCCAGGGCTGGGAATGACCTCAGAGATCATCTAGTCCAACCCCCTGCTCCAGCAGGAAACCTTATATCATTTTGGTACCTCTCACACAGAGAAGAAATTCCTAGAAATCCCCAGGCATTGCCAACCTCTCTCCCACTAGTAAAAAAAACCTAGAGCAAAAACTTCATGCAGTATTAAAAAGATTAGAAAAGGGGGCTGCTGTATATTGTTTAATGGACTGCTAAATTGGCCACTCCCACCCAGTCACATGATGGCCAAGCCACTCCCACTTGGTCACATGATAGCCAGGCCACACATGACTGTCAAGCCATACCCACAGAAACTGTAGTAAAAAAATTTGAACCCCACCACTGATATAAAGTAGGAACTGAAGTTGGCAGCCTTTGGGATTTAATGTTCCTTTTTGCTCCCAATCCCCACACATTACCTTTTTTCTCCATCCTTGCAATTCGGACAGGTGCAAGCCATCCGCCGTCTCTTTTCTCCAGGCTGCATGTCCCCCAAGAGTGCTTGTTCCATTTGCAATTGGATTTGGTTAGGGTTCAGGCCACTGATGGTTAGATTGTTGCCTGAAACATTCTGCACCGTTAACTGCTGTTGGCCTGCAAAAAGAAGAATGAAGAAAGTATGGCTTGTGAATTTCCACTGTTAAAATATGAAGACTCAATTATTCCAGGAAAACTCTAGGCTAAAATGTAATATGCAATATGAGTTCCATTTTCTTTTCTTGTCTTTTTGGATGTCAGAATTGCACAAGACTTGAAATAAAACCCAGTTCAAGGTTCCAACATTTCATTCCTGCCTGGATTCAGAAGCCCAACTTCTCCTCCCAAATTACTAACATTTATCTTTACAATATTGCTATCCCACTCCAATACACATTTTCAAACTTTCTAACTGAGGTGTTTTTCATACCTTTTCCACCCTCAGGAAGATAGAAAGCATGGAATCCTTCACTGCCATCTCCCCAGCAACCAATAATATACAGAACAGAAAGAATGCAATGTTTCTGATTACAAATTACAATTACTCAGAAAATAAGCAAGCTATTTCCTAGTAATGATGGCATAGTGATATAATCTGCCATTGTATTTGGGCATGTCCCCTATTATTAGAATGTAGCAAGAAGAAATCAATCTTTGGGGAGTGCAAAAGTTAAAATGAACACAAAACGTTTCACACTTTTCTTCAAGCATGTCCATTCCTCAAGATCTGCCTCTTTCCCCAAGAATTGGGCCAGGATGGAATTTGAACTGGGGGCTTGTTTAGTCTAGCACCTTCGAGGAGTGTTTTTAAAAAAAATTGTTATGAGCAGTCTAGAACCATTATGAAGATGTAATTCCTGTAAGTATATACATAACCCTACTTATACATTACTCTTCCTTGTTACTGATAACATCCCAATAAATTAAAGAAATGAACATATTATTGTATCACAAATTGAAATACTGCACATCACAGGTTTGTTACATCATATTTCCCACCTCCGGTATTGGTGATGGTAACAGGAACACCTTGAACTTGCACACCATTGATGCTAATTGTTTGCATTGCCTGAGCAGCGGCAGCAAGTTGCGCTGCATTNCCTCACCAAACAAACCATTTCTTTATTATGATGCAGTTATTTCTTAATGCATCTATATTTCAATTAGAGATGTAGTAGGACTTTAGAGTCTACTATATCTCTAAGAAAGTAAACTTAAGAAATATTTTCAGAAACAAACTAAAATATAAACTTTTGGGATGATACAGAGGTGGATTGCTTTCGGTTCGGCCAAACCGGTTGTGGCGGCGGCGGAAGGCTCCGCCGACCCGCCTGGATGCTTCTGCACATAAGTGCTGCGCGCACACGTGAACCGGTAGTAATCCGGTTAGCAACCCACCATTGGATACAATGATGATATAGAGCACCTTAGATGTTTCTGCCAAAGGTAGTGGGATGGAAGCTATATTTCATGAAAACTATTCTTGATTTTGTTTTGTGAAAGGGAGTCTGTTATCTTAAGATAACTGAAAGTTGTTACATAGAAAAATCACTCTGAAAACATAAACAATTTCCATTTCTCCATTTGATAATCTTACTATCTTTCTATTCCAAAAGGAAGATAGAAAAGGACACAACCCACATCTAGCAGAAACGTTGTACATACTTCCACTATGTCAACCAGGAAGAGGAAGGATATAGCTAAACATTGCATGGTGTTTAATGAAAGTTGGATTAAATAGCATTCCAAGGTTCCTAATGGAACCAGAGTTTCTTAGACGCTTGGCAAAGGCTGAAGGTGGGATTTCCCCTTCTTTTTTAATTGTCCAGTACTTATTCTACATGTATTTTCTGCTTCTCTTCTCTGGTAGCTAATAGCATATAAAAGAAAGTATTTTTAGTTTCTACTTAATTTTGTAGCCAAAATGCTTTCACATATAGTTGACCTTTTAAAGATTCATCAATGAGTTACTGTCCTAGTAAAATGAAATTCAAAATAAATAATATAGTCTATTAATGAGTTTTCCAGTTAAAATAATTTTCTTTTATGGGTAGAAAGCAAAGAAACATTTTTCATTACAGTGCTTTATTAACTTGATTCTTTATAAAACAGAGTTCTATGTTATTATGAGACTTTATAATCTCATATTTTCTATGTTCCTAAGAGAAATTATTGCACTGACCTTGTGAATCCTTCTGTGTGTTTTCAATGGTTGTTAATCATTAAAAACTGTGCATACTTCTTGCTTCAAAAATGATATTGAAGATGTGCTTCAGGTTGTGTAGTATAGCATTTCTTTAAACTTTCAGACTTCTGCTCAAGCTTGAAAACAAATGTGGCTACTTTAAGGAGTTGCATTAAGGGTGCAGTCCTTAAAGCAGTTGTGCCTCTTTTCAAGCTCACATGGAAGCCAAAGAAGACACAGCTACTTCAAAGAGATACTGAATTCATGCTCCAGCACATTTGGAAGTGTATCTTCCAGATCATTTTCAAAGCATGCACACTCCTACCAGTTATTTCTCTGAAAATTCCATCTATAAATACTCTGATTAGTAGCCATAAATTTTTATGTTATTGTCCAGCATATATCTAAATCATCTATGCTACTGGTTGTCTCGATAAGTGAATTATACATACATCTTTTATTTGTCCTAAATTAAATACTTGGGTTGATGGCAATACCAATTGAATCTTTGCACATGCCAAGAACAGTTTTCTTGAATGCGAAAAGATAAATGGTTTGTCCCTGTCTTCTTTTGGGATAATTTTGTCAAGTTTCTAGTTTAACCTACAACCCTAGGAACATCTGATGGACCCCATTTATATAACCAAGTCTAAACTTTCTTTCTTTTTTTAGTAGATACTGCCACTTGTGAATATTAACACACGGTAAAAATCTCAACTGTTCTCTTATTTTTTTCACTTCCATCATATGTACCTTGTCTCTTGCTCTGCCAAATTAAATATATTTTCACATGCAAGAAATCTTTTTTAAAAAATCAAGAAATTGCTTAGTCCACCAAACCATTTTTAGATAAAGTTTGTAACTGATTGGCAAATATCATGACATGTTGTTCCAAATATGAATGTTTATGTATATGAAACAGAATAATACCTAATAATACATACTGGAATATAAACATAAGAACCTAAAACACTGACTACAGCATGCAAACATCTTACACATTATTATAATATAAAATTTAGTTCAAGAACAGTACTAGAATTTGACATATTCTAGCATTATGTGCAACAATCTCAGAATATTTAGGTAAACTAATTCTTCTCTATAGTAAACACTTTCATCAGAGAGCTTTCCACATTGCAGGATTCTAGGCTAACCATTTATATTTTTTTAATGCAGCAATGCTATCAACAAAAACAACCCACCTGAGCTGCTGAAGCAGCAGGCTGTAAGTAATCACTGGGACTAACTGCAGCAGTGGCAGCCATACTGTCTCTAAAGCTGAAAAAAAAAAGTTTGGTTAATCAATTACTAATCTAAACTGTTTTTCAATATTGATAGTAAGATTTATAGCGTGTGCAAGAAAGAGATATTGATACGAAATTTGTCATAATATACCATTCTCAATTAAAATTATTCACAATATAAAACTGGAGTACAGAATTGTACCCATAATTAAAGTATTTATTTAAATCTATCTGAAGCATTTTTTGCTAGTGCAGCTGACAGATATCAGAACAATAAAAGAAAAGTTGGATTAGAGAGGTAGTGTAAAAACTATTAGAATGGGAAAAATGCAACATATTAGAGAGAATTTGACAGTGATGCCATCAATATTTAGTAGGACTACTTTGGGGCATATTTATCACATTTGGAAAGAAAAAAAAAATATGTTCTGACCTTCTGTTACCTCATCATAATAGAAACAATCAGCCAAATAACTGCAAGACAGAATTTAAGCAAAAGCTTTTACAAATTATGAGCATCAATATAAAATTATATGCATTGTTTTATGGTGCTTACACATTTATAGTATGTAATAAGCTAAAAAATGGTACTGACATATCTTAGAAATATCTATTTTAAATTTCTAAGCAGCAATTATATTGTAATTATGACAACTTATTCATGGAATTCTGTATATGGGAAATATTCCAAAATCAAATTTATAGATTTTATGATTGTAGTGATAAATTTGAAAATGTAGAGATGATTATTAACAAAATGAAGGAAACAGGGAAAGAAAGATGGTAACAGAATGACCAGTATGAGAAAGAAACAACAAAAAATAATTTTTAGTCTTCTAAGCACTGTTTTGTGCATCCTGCAGTCATATGACTAAAATTCCAAAGAGGAAAGATCATTCAGAGCATGTATGCAAGTACTTTATATATGTCAGCATCTCCTCAAACCGAACATATCTTTTAAAGCCTAGAAAAAGGTACAAGTTAAAAATTTGCCACCAGGTATAATACAAATGTCTGTGCGTTTGAAATTACCTCGTCTTTTCCACCACCCTAATAATACCATATTTGTCCATATCAAGTATTATCCTACTCAATACCCGTTTAATTCTTCAAAAAAAGTAGTTCAATTGCCAAAGTGTGATATGTTGATCAATTAGCAGAGCCACAAGTAGAAGGCTCAATATGGATCCAAGTAGACTATAAAAATAATATGGCTCACCAATCTTTCTACATGCATAAGAGAAGCATATTTATAAGAAATATAACCAAAATTACAACTAGTTCCTTTAATAGGCACAAACATCCTAGATGGTAAATCGAGATGAACACATTTCTTTGCATAGTTCTTCATCAAGAATTGTTACCCTTTCAATGGAAGCAAATGTAAAGCTGATAACTATGACTTATTCCATCAACTACATAAGATTAGGCAAAATGAGATAAGGTTTTGAAATAGGGTGAGAAAGAGAAAAATATCCCACTCTGATCATTACTTTTAACAGACAATTCTGTTTCTAGATATATTTATTGAAATGATAAGATTTGCATGGCTTTCCTTTCCTGGGCATCTTGCAACAACAATAAAGATATCATGTCAATGGTCATGTGACATAAATGATGGTTCATAGAGCTTCAAAAGGACAATGGAATAAGAAAATTATATGACTTACTTGTTTTGACAAGATTTTCTATGTTCTAACCTAAATTCAAAGTGCATGATGGCTTTCAGAGTTTAGATTAAACATGGTGTACTGAAAGCCCACATCAGAAGCTCTAATATAGTTAGTCCTTGAGATACGACAATAGTCCAAAATTTATTTGCTAAGTGAATTTTGCCCCAATTTATGACCTTTCTTGCCATATATAAGTGGATTTACTGCAGTTAAGTTAGTAACTGCTAAATGAAACTATTTTCCCCATTGACTTTGCTTGTCAGAAGGCCATAAAAGGTGATCACATGACCCTGGGACACTGGAACCATAATATAGTCAGTTGCCATATCTCAACTTTGATCATGAGACCATAGAGATGCTATAATAGGTGTGTGGAAAAAATGATCATAGGGCACTTTTTTCAGTCCTGTTGTAAATTTGAACAGTAACTAAACGAACTATTGTAAGTCAAGGACTACCTTTATAGCAAATTCTTATTTGCAAGATCAAGGTTAAATATCACTCAACCAGCGAGGAAGGATTCAAGGACTTAAAAGCAAGTTTTGACTCAAAGAGAAAGATACCTCAGCCACAAAAAATCTCAGCCACAAGCAACCAACTTTTAATGTCATTTAAAAAATTTAAAATATTTTATTTATATTGTATGCTAAAGTCCCTACTTTACAATTCGAAGAACCATAATTACTGAAATCTTTAAATCCCAGAAAGAAATATTTTAAGCTGTTCAACTCATTTTCTTAAAAAGAGAGGAATAAACACAAGCTATGGTCCCATAGTCATCATTTCCCCCCCTTAAATTTGGATATGGTCACATCAGCACAGAGGGACATAGATAAACAATCAGAGTACATAATCAGATGAGTAGTATAGCCTTGTCACTCTACATCATGTATACAAAGAAATTGAGTAATTTTTCAGTAATATTTTTTCAGATTAAAATACATTAGAGTACACGGGTATGCATTTTAAGGAGTGAGGATTATCACTA